TTTCCCTGTTTGCAAAATAACAATGAGGAACTTGCAGCTTTCTGGGATTTCACAGGATTGTTGAGGTTGGAATAGACCTCTGGGGGGTCATCTGGTCCAACATCCTGCTCAAGCAGAGGCCACTTAGAGCAGGCTGCTCAGGACCATGTCCAGGCCATTTTTTAGTATCTCCAGTGACGGAGGCTCCACAGCCTCTCTGGGCAACCTGTGCCAGTGCTCGGTCATCTTTACAGTAAAAAGATTTTTCCTGATATTCAGAGACAACCTCCTGTGTTTCAGTTTGTGCCCAGCACCTCTTGTCCCGTCACTGGGCACTACTGCAAAGAGCCTGGGTCAGTCTTCTTTAGATCCTTCCTTGAGATACCTATAGACATTGAGGAAATCCCACCTGAGCCTTCTCTTCCCCAGGCTAAACAGACCCAGCTCTATCAGCCTTTCCTCATAGAAGGAATGTTCCTTAGTAATCTTCATTACACTTCACTGTATTGTCTCCAGTAGCTCTACAGCTCTCTTGTACCTGGGAGGCCAGAACTGCACACAGCGCTCCAGGTGTGGCCTCACCAGTCCCTTGACCTGCTGTCAACACTCTTAATACAGCCCAGGATACCATTAGCCTTCTTTGCCACAAGTGCACGTTGCTGGCTCATAGTCAACTAGGTGTCCACCAGGACTCCTAGATCCTTTTCTACAAAGCTGAAATTTGATCTTAAAATTATTCAGTTAGTTTTCCTTAAAAAATCTTGGTTTATTGAACATTTTATACACCATGTACTGCACATGCTCTGTCTTTAGAACAGAGAAGTGGGTTTTCTTTTAGCACATACCATTGACTTTCTTCTATGATAGAATAAGAATCACTTTTGGAACCAAGCTTTTGCTCTGAATACCTGGATTTCTATCTCTGAAATTTGTTGTTTTCCAACATCTATCTGAAATTCATTTCTTTGATAGGCCTACCTGTTTGAAAAGATGTCCATCATAAGAGTGGGCAAAGCAAGAACACAAAAGGGATGTCAATACAAAGCAAAACATGTCTTTTTGACTGAATAGTAAAAAAGCATTTCTGAAGACAAACTACGCTGCCTGAGTTGACAGACTATATTAAGCTGGGGTTTGAGTTTTTGTTCAGGGTTTAGGGGGTGCGAGGATTGGTTGGGGTGGTTTGGGGTGGGGTTTTTTTGTTGTGGTTGTTTGTTTGTGATTTTTTTTTAAATTGTGGACACACAACAGGTTTTCCTAATATGTTTTCATAAACAGGATTAATTAGAAGATACCAACATACAATGATACAATGATACAAGTGGTTTTTAAGTGCTAATTCACCACATTTAAAAAAAAGACATTAGGCTCTTGAATAATTTAGCTGCTATCTAGCAAGTGAGTTCATTGGAGTTGCTGCCAATCAAGAGATTGCCAAGGTGGGGGGCGAGGCAGGTCTCCAGCTTCAATGCAGCTGCAGCCAATGTCATACCACTCCTCTGGGGGACTAGTCTCCTGTTTTGATCAGCTCTATCTGCTAATACGGCTTATGGCTGAGTTTGGTCACAGTATGGTTTTGATTAAAACCAAAGGATGGAAAGCTTTCATGTCAACTGTTTCCAGAAATGGTGCCTGGCACTTGACGTCAGACCTGCTTGTTGCCATGGATTTGTCTGGTGAGACGGACTCCTGGCTGAATGTGGTCACCATCACCAGACATTGTGGTTTTGTGTGGTGGGTTTTGCTTGGTAGCAGGGGAGGGGCTACAGTGATGGCTCCTGTAAGTAACTGCCAGAAGTTCCTCCAGCTCCAAGTCTGTTTGGTAGCAGAGGGGAGCAGTATCGAGATGGCTCCTGTGAGAAACCACTGTAAGTTTCCCCAGCTCCACGCTGGACCCACCCCTGGCCAGGGCCAAGCCCATCAGCGCCTCTGCAAATGACACATCTAAGAGGGGGCACAGTGCAGGGAGTGGGGATGCAGTGCCAGGCAGGGCCCAGCCCAGTCGGTTCATCCATCCAGCTGCTGTCTGCCCAGCCCCCGCCATGGCCCAGCCGACCCAGTGCAGCCCCCGCCCGAGAGCCGGGAGTTCCTCAGGAGCCAGCGAAAGACCCTGCGGCAGAGAGAGGAGCGGGGTGTGAAGAGAGGCAAGTACAGACACGAAGGTCAGTGAAGAGAAAGGGGAGGGAGGAGGTGCTGGAGCAGGGATTCCCAAGAGCTGGTGACGCACGTTGTCCCCGTGCAGCCCATGGAGAGCAGAGCTCGCCTGCAGCTCATGGAGATGGAGCTGTGGAGGACCCCATGCTGGAAGAAGCAACTGTGCCCGAAGGAGGCTGTGAATATGTGGAAGAGCCCCATGCTGGAGCAGTTAGCAGAGAATTGCGGCCCATGGGAAGGACTCTCCCATGAGAGGTACCCCACGCTGGAGCAGGGAAGATGGTGAGGAACCTCCCCTGAGGATGAAGGGGTGGCGGACACAACAGGGGATGGACTGACCGCAACCCCTATTCCCTGCCCCCTGTGTTGCTGGGGAAGGGAGAAGGTAGAGAAATCGGGAACAAAGCCTTTGGGCCCAAGGAGAAGTGAGGGGTGGAGGAAGGTGCGTTTTTAAGATACCCCACGCTGGAGCAGGGAAGATGGTGAGGAACCTCCCCTGAGGATGAAGGGGTGGCGGACACAACAGGGGATGGACTGACCGCAACCCCTATTCCCTGCCCCCTGTGTTGCTGGGGAAGGGAGAAGGTAGAGAAATCGGGAACAAAGCCTTTGGGCCCAAGGAGAAGTGAGGGGTGGAGGAAGGTGCGTTTTTAAGATGGAGTTCTCTTTCTCATTATCTTGCTCTCGTTTTGATTGTTAACAGAGTAAATTGTTTTTGTTCTTCCCAAGTCGAGTTTGTTTCTTGCCCATGACCATAAGTGGTGAGTGAACCCTCCCTGTCCTTGCCTCAGCCCATGAAGTTTTAGCCTCTAAACCATGACACCAGACAAGCCCTGCTCACCTTACTCAGGTACTGTGGAACTGCCCTATGCCTGCCATGCTGTTACCTGAGCTCCCGCTCCCCATTTGTCACTGGATTTTACTTCCCCATCTCCTGGTTGAATGACACACAGGGTAACAGCAAAAAACCATGGAACTTTGAAAGTAGAAAAAAGCCAGATACTCACACAGTGAAGGAATCTGGGGGAGCTGAGACTCTCCTCAGGTCAGCAGACTGCACTTTATGGATACTATATGCAGCAGGAAATGAGTGGCCAGAAGAAAGGCAGCACACAGTGTGGACAGACAAGGAAAAAGGCAGGGGGGAGAGAGAGAGAAAGAGTGGAAGAGAAAAAAAGAAAGAGAAAGACATACAACATTTAAACAGAAACAAAAGGAATGTGTCACATAAATGTTGAATGAAGAGACATGCAGAGCTCCAAGTTCACACTAGGAAGTCAAGGGCAACACAAGACATGCAAATGGATAAAATCACTGCTACATAGCACACAGGAGTTTTCTAAAGACATGAGTGAGGAGGACCAATGACAAGCTAGGCACACAGCTACACAAGGAAAATGAGGAGCCCCAGAATTTGTTACACAGGCACTGAAAAATTTCAAGGCAGCAGACTTTGAAAGCAAGTCCAGAAATGCAAACAAATATCAAAGCCAAGATCTGAATGGATGGAATTGTCTCCCAAGGTTGGCCAAATTTAGTCAAATGTTTAAGAAAAAAAAATACCCTTACTGGAGATTTTGTATCCACAATGACAAATTGTTGTCTCCATTCTTCTTTCATGTACCTTAGAGAAACATGCATTTTATATATGGTGACTCCTAAGACTCTCTTTTAGTGTTTATACTCAGATGGTCCCTTTGTTTCTCTAAAGTGTAAGGAATATGTTCTATCCATAAGCTCCTCCCTCTTCTTTCTCTTCCATCATGCAGGACACTCTTCCTCAACCCAAACTAAAAGTCAGCAAAAGCAAAATACCATCTTCTGAGTTTCAGAAAGTGACTGTTAACTGAAACTTACTGAGTAGCACACTAAACTGTAATTTCTAACCAGAAAATAACTCACAGAAAATTGAACCACAGCTTCTCTTCTCATTCCACACACATTTTGCTTATAGCTCACAAGAACCACATTCTTGGTTTGATCACAGCAAACCAAGCTATATGTTTTCTCCTTCACGTGTTACCATGATAAATAGTGGAGAACAGGAATGAGAACTTAGCCAGCAAGTCTTTTAAGGGAAGGAGAATAAGAACAGAATTCTCTTTTAAAGAAAAACTGAGTCCGCTGATCTGGCTATAGCAAAAATTTGCTTTTGCTGGTACAGAGAAGACGCGAGAAGAAAAGAAACCCACCTTTTTTCCCCACAACCGCACTATATACCTTGTTTCAATCCATAGCCAAGTGTGAACAGCATCACCTCATCCTGTATATTCCTTGCACCTAAAAAGTTGCTTCTGGCTTTAAACACTTGATTGGTTTGTTACTTATTTCCATTGTAGAGCAATGCATTGTAGGATGAGAGAGAGATTATGCCTGTCTTATGTTTGGACAGCCTCCATTAGAAACAAATGAGAAGCACTGTAACTGTACTCCCCAAGTAATTACTTTCCTCCACTATGCTTTAACTGGAAATTTTAAAGTTACCAGAAGAGTACAAACCATAAACAGGTCATCCTCACCTACTCAAGAGTGCTCATAATGTCTGTGTCACATCAAAACAGCTTAACTTTCCAAAAGTAAATACTAAAAAAAAAAATGAATGCTTGATGATCACTACTTGCAGCAACTAGTCTATGAATAGTTCAGGACAATTAATATACTGAGAAATTTGTTTGTAGGCAATTCAGCAGTGAAAGACAAAATAACAGAATAAAATATTAATTGCCAGTAATTACCCAGCTATGACAAAATGCAGCACATATATTTACTTGTTCCCTAATAGCTTGGATGAAGCTCCTTCAGTTTAAGTAGCCTCACAGAAACACTAGATTTTTATTCCTTAATTTGATTCCATGGCTAACCTTCTTGTTTGTTTTTGAAGACTAGAAAAGACTAGGAACTTTTACACTGTCAAAAGTGCTGATGAGTTTTTCCCCACACCTTGAAAAAGGCATATTATTCAGTAACAGATAAAACAAGGACTTTCAACATACAGGAGTTATAACCTTGAAGGTCTGTGTAGAACCATACGAGGCAGTTTCTGTGCAATTAGAAGGTACTGGAAGCACAACAGTGTGAAAATGGAAGGAAAACCAGGTCAAACAAGGTCAAATCACTTTTCTCATAAACAAGTATCCTCTCAGAGTGTCTACAGGTTTTGAAGGAGAACAGCTGCAATCAGGAAGATGGGCAAGCCTTACAGTCAGAAGAGAACCATGTTTCTAAAGCCCTACTGCTCTCAAGTGAGAGCAGCATGAAATCTCTGTTCTTCTCACTCAGCTACATTACATATGGGCTCTTCAATTTTAAAATACTATTAGTCCCTAGAAACTCAAGTGCATCCACAAGACAATCAACAAACTCACTATCCGCTCTAAACCCCCTCTTCCTTAAAACCTCCGGAACAAACCAGAACAGAGTAAGCAAAAAGAAACATCGTGAAAGACTTCTTCAAATAAAGTCTTGTTCTACTTACAAGACTGGACTAACTAAAACTCCAAAGAGCACTCCTACCAGTCTCCTTATCTAGCAATAATATCAAAGCTGACAGTAATAGCAACTCTGTTACTGTGATGTGAGACAATTTTTTAATCACTTTCCTGGCAAGCAGCTCAAGAACAGATGTCTAACAGTTGCAAATCAGCATCATTATATTGAATGAACTTCTTACAATACTAAATGCTCCCTAGAGTTTAACCTTTACTACACCATTCACTTTTTATCACCCCAAGAGATTCAACTCCTCGCTCTCATTTCCCTTCAATGCTTGAGAGCAAAGTACATACACACACACACAGATATATATGCATAGATGTAGATATAAATATATACACACACCATTTCTAATACAAGGCTGAGACTAGAGTATTTTCCCAGGACATATGTCTGCTGGCAAATATCCCAGCCAAATCAAAGGACTGACAGCTACGTAGTCTACCATAGCACACTGAAATCAAGCTAAACCACAAATAAGATCATCTTGACAACTGGCCTATATTATGAATCTGTATTTCCCTACCACAGTCTAAATTCAGATCTCAAAATCCAAGCCTAACCATACTAATTATCAGATTGAAATACCAGGAATTTTCATTTTACATTTGCATTAGCCTCCCTCCGTGTAGAAAAAGATGCCCTAGGATTGCTCTCTGCTTGATTCTTGCTTTCGCAAACGACTGAGTTGTGGTTGGATGAAATTGGGCATCATTGCCCACAGGCAAGAGTCTGCTAGTCTTCACTGCTCAAGAGAGATGAGTATACCTTATGTATTTTCCAGGCAAATAGGAACCGCACATTACAGATATGGGCTTCTACTGAAGCTTAAAGCATTAGTCTCAGTAAGAGAACACAGAGTGCTAAATTGAACAGGAAGATGTTGAAAGTAACCAGGGAGGCTTTCATTACATGAACAGGTTGACAACCAGCAGATGAGAAGAAGCTCCAAAGGGCTGGAATTGAAGTTTGAAGTGAAGCAATATCTTCCACTAGATGATACAGCTGAAAAATACAACCAACCTTTAAGATACACGAAGAGAAAAGGTGTGCCTGAGACCTTAACTGTTTTTTCCAGTTATATGAGTTAGTCTAATGAAAGATAATACATCTCTTCATAAACCTTGCCTCACCATTACAGCTGCAACAGCAAAATCTCCCATGCACCTCTCCAGAAAAATGAAATCCTCATTGCATGGATGTTTGAATGAAATGTGGATCCTTGATAACTTTAGACCTTTGGCTCAGTATCTTTGTAGAAGGGACAGACTGTTTTGCTTCACTTCAAGAATACCTGACACAAAACAGCAAAGGCACTTACTATGTCAGTCAATTCAGCAGCAATGAAGACCTTCTACGACAAGTACAATAATCAGCTCTACAAAATAAATTATTTTATTGGACAGGAATTTTCACAGGTCAAAATTTGAAATTTTTTTTTTTTTTTGTGTTAAAATATCTCTGCAGTGCTTACAAATAAGGTTTAGTTATGAAAAAGAATGTTAGCCCTATCTTTTCTTCTTTGCATGTTCCAGGTTTCCAGTTACCTTAGCTTTTCTTTATTCATCTTTAGACTACTCATTTCTCATTTGGGTTTTATACTGGAGCAAGATTCCCTACATAGTGCAAACAGCCCTTTCTAGACTTCCAGGTCCTTCTCCATAAACAGCCCCAGGCAGCATGCTCCCACAACAGAGACTACACGATGTCCTGAGTAATTCTTGATTATGGCAATTTGTTACAGGACCTCCAATAGAGCTTAAAAAGCAGATCAATAAAGTTGAGAAAATGAAGCAAAAGAACTTCAAAGGCAAATGGTATACATATGCAGAATAGCCAGAAGCCAAGAGGCACACTGCTGAGCCTGCACAAACCTCTCTAAATAACTTAAAGGTACAACACCTTTCTAAAAGCAAGAGAGAGAGCAATCCAGAAGATAAAAGTATAAAAGAAAATCAAGTCAGTATTTACAATATGGTGGAAAGAGAGTTCAGAAGGTGGGATTTCTTGTTTTGTTTTGTTTTTTGTAGATGCGCTTCAAGTACAGTACATGCAAAATCCATGACTCAATATGCTGCCCCAAACAGGCCTCCTGCCATTAGGACATGCACATATCAAACTCACTCATTTAGCAAAGGCATGGATGTTCTCCTCTTGCTCTTCTGCACCATGTTGGCTTGGTTCCTTAAGGAGATTCGAATGAGTGAGGGAGCCAGTCGACATGGTTCGCCATCCACTTGCATGGGAATAGACTTGTATGTTAAAAGTGTCACCTCACGGCACTGATGCAACCTCTCTCCATGACCACCCACCTGGAGAGCAGCCTGGGAAAAACAAACCAACAAACAAGAAAAAAAAAACAAAACCAAACAGGAAAGACAAAGAAAAGACACATCAGAACAGACAGTTGGGAGAGTCAAAACCAAAATGCAGTTTTGCTGACAGCATCCAATACACAGCATTCCATGTGTAAGGCATTCTAAGGAGTAACAATGAATGCATTTTCACTCCAGATTTTCAAAGCAGGACTTAAAATTTTACAAGGAAAAGTGGCAGGCAATGAACAGATATCTAACCATATGCATCGCACATCTCATCACTTTGATATACGTCAATCATACTACACACACATACAAATATGTATACACACACTTGCATGCACAAATTAATACCTGTCTTTATTCTTAAAGTTTTCAATTTGTTTTGGTTGGTTTGTTTTTACACTAACAGTAATGCTACTAATTATTTCCTCTTTAAAACAACAACCCTAATTGGGTACATCTGCAAGACAGAAAAATTATTTCCCCTTCCTGAACAGGATATGGTCTTTAATGTGAATTAGATAAATCCAAAATCCTTATTATGAAAGTTTACAGAGCAACTCAGCCTCAAGACTAGACAGGCTGAAAAGAACAAGCAGAAGGATCTTTTTAAAAACAATCAAATATCACGTTAAATAACTAATTTCAAAGAAATGAAACAAGGAGGGCAATAGGCAGATCCTTCAAGTTCTAAGCAGACATGTTTGGGCAGAAATGTATTTTTTTAATTTGTAGTGTGACTATTAACTCTCACCTACCAGATGCAGAAAAAAAAATCCTATATTAATGCACTACTAACAGAGGCAGACTAAACACAAGACCTTAATTCTGCTCTGTGCACTTAATATTATGGATCAACGGATAATAAGGTCAATGACATTCGTAACACCTCTTATAACGTACTTCTCTTCCTTGGTCTCACAGACCTTCTTGGGTATGACCAAGCACATCTGGGAGACATACAGAGCAACACAGCACAGCCTAGGGTTACAGTGGTTCCTCAGCATCACAAACAATGTAGACTTGTAGACCCCTAGTTCTGAACTAGGCTTCCTTTAAAGAGAAACAGACTTACTACTTAATTTAAGTCTCAATCGAAAAAGTTGGTAGCTTTGAGATCACTCTAGCTACTGCGAGTATCTAGAGACATATTAGTGGCAAACTCAAAAAATATTCCAGCTGAAAATTTCCAGTTGGTACATGCTAGACTTTTGACAGCGTTTTCAGAGAAACATACCCTAAAATCTTCAGGGGTGAACTAACAAATGTTTGTTCCACAAGATCTGCTAGGCTAAGAAACAGAATTCTGCTTACTTGTAGGTTATTCTCCTAATCCACTAGCTCCATCAAAAAACATACAAACCAAAAAAAAAAAAAAAAGAATCCTTAACCCAGACTCCTAAAGAAATATTGCTGATCAAGGTGATGTTTTATTTTTGCTTACTTTGAAGATTAGATTTGTCTGAATTTCTCTTTAACGAAGCAAACACCATTATTACAGGTATTCACTGAATGTGATATGCACTGAGGGCAGGTCACACAACAAATAAATGTGTGAGTTTAGTGAAAACAGGCTTATCCATGTTAGCTTTAACCTAGTCCACACAGGACATAGCAGCAACAAAGGCCTAAGAGTATGGACTTAAGCATGACCTAACCAAACGAGCCAGGAAGCCCTGATATGTGCCTTGTGTTAGACACAGTAAATTTAAGCTGGTGTGCCTTAGGAAGATTAACACTAGCACAGGGATAACTAACAGCTCTCTGACTGCATTTAATCATCCTCTGAAGGGACTGTCACTGTGTTTAACCACTGTGATAGCAGGACACTAGGGTACTTATAGTGAGATTGCTTTTATAGTAACTCAGCTTTAGTTCACTTTAAGGACAGTATTGACAGAAAGTACACTGCCAAAATAAAAATGCTGGTTGAATTTTATTTCCCTAGCAGAACAAAAAGAGAGATAACACTTATGCCAGAAATTTTTACACAGCTATTACTAAATTTTCACAACATTTTTAGTAGGCATATGGAAACTGTATGGGTATATAATTGTATATAATATTTAATTTTAAAAAGAAAAAAATTTTATGCCATAGATTGCTGTTTCTTTTTAGCTTTTGTGTATTTCAATAATTAATCGATGATAAAACATTCCTATAGTGAAAACATGCATGCATGCTGGTTTTACTGTAATAATGTTGCTGTTTAACTTGGGAGCACTGCACATGCAAATTAGCCATATTTTACAAAGAGTACATTTTTAGTATTAAATAAATAACACTTCTTTTATTAGAAAACTACAGTTTCCCCTCATTAAAAACCTAATAGCAGAGCATGTTTTGGCCTTAGCTGACTATGCGGAATCACGGTGGTTCTTCAGTAATGAGGACAACTTTGCACTCTGTAACACCACTCACAGAATTCACCAGGTCTGGCAGCACCTGCAGGAAGTGCAGCACCTGCAGGAAGTGCAGCACCTGCAATACACTCACCAGTGAGGCCATGGTGAACCCAATGACTTCAATGTAGCCATCATCATGGCGCTGAGGCTCAAAGTCTCTATGATCTCCGGGGTTTCCCCAGGGCATTGTGCCAGCACAATACCTACAGAAAGAGGTTTGAAAAGCAAACTTTGAGAAAGCAGTTTGCCCTGATGGGTCCTGACTAGTAGCCTATTAGCCTGTTCTGCTGTCTTCCAGAAGTATGCAGATATCCATTCCAGGATTCAATTCAGGGACAATTAAAAGTTATGCTGGCAAGGACTGGACAAAAGGGAAAAATCTGTCTCTTGTTTCCGAGCTGGTACACCATCCATAAATGTATCCATCATAATTTTTAAGCAGGTCCCTTTGCGAGAGGAAAATGGAGAAACACCAGAAAATAGATAACAGGGCAACAGCACTTTGTTTTCCCCACTTGCTTTGCTTTCTGCAGATGAGCTGTTGAGCTAGAAAGCTGCTTAGCCCCTCTGCTAGGCAGGCATGGGGCTGCAGCAGCAACTCCAGCCTTGGAGCTCCCGTTTCCTCTCTCCCTGCTGGCTCAGAAACTCTAACAGCATAAGGAACGCAAAACTTCTCATAGCTTGAGGAGGCAGGGAGAAATAAGAAGCAGGAACAGATGCAGCTGTGGCATCTATCTTTCCAACCATTAAAGAATGGATGTAAAAGTGATCTAAGAGTGATAGGAGGGGGAACTTTGAAGAGGTGACACCAAGTAGAAGCTTGCAGTCAGGGCAGTGCAGGACTCAAAAGATCAAGTGCTTAGGACTGCATGTGGAGCAAAGTGGCAGGTTGTCTAAAGCAGTAGTCTCCAAAGTGGGGTGCATGCACCACAGGGAGTGTGCAAGAAAAATCCACAACTGACAAGACAGCTAGGGTGTGTGAAGAAAATATTGATTGTACTAATAATAAATAAGAAAAAAAATGTTTGTTTCATCTTATCACACTTTTTCTTAATTTTGATTTTTTGTGTATGTTTTATAATGTATGTAATACAGTAGTACATATATATAATTTACAAAGAAATACACATACGTTGGCTTGGTGCTCAAAAATTTTTTTTACTGATGGGGATACACAATCAAAAAAAGCTTGAAGACTACTGCTCTAGAGAGCAGGAGATGGAAATATAGCTGTATTTTAAAAAGTTGTCTATTTGGGACACCTTCTAACATGTTAAAAAACAGCACTTCTTTCAACAGTTTGGTGTTCCTTTACCACAACAATATTGATCCTTTCCCCACTCCTCCCTCTTTTTTTCACACTCTGCTTCTAATTAAGCAGAAGACCAGGTATCTGTGTCTTCACTATCCTGTTTGCAGGTTAGGTGCACAACTTTTGAAAGTGTGTTTATTGATCATTTCTATTATCTCTGTATCAGGATATTAAACTTTTTAAAGGATGGTTTAGTTGCACCCTATTGCTAAACCCATTCTGTATTGCTAATTAACAGTATTACAAACCCCCAGCTCTCAAGAAGGCAGCACAGTGGCAACACCCCTCTGGCACATCCACCCAGTCTAGGACAACTTGTAGGCTTTTTTTTTTTTTCTTTTATACCTCCAAGCATCTGTCTTGAGCTTACCTGGGTATGTTTAAAAACACTATACACTGGAACTTCAGCTCCTGGATCTTTGGAGTCAGGTCTGTACCATCACACTACAAAGCCAAAGTGACAGAGCACAGAGAAATTGCTGAATGGAGCCACAGACAAGAGAAGTGTTGCTGCTTTGTAAAAACTTTCCCAAGACTTTCCTTGGAATGTGTTGCAAATGTCATGCTCAAAACTGAAAAGTAACAGAGCCATTAAACTCTCACCTCACTCTCTCTCCATTCCCCCCTCTTCCCATAATGCTAGGACACAATGTCTTATACTTACCACAACTTTAACATGTTTGGATAAATCTCTTGAGCTTCTTTGCAGAAAGTCTGTAAAGGCTGCCTGCAAAGAGAAATAAAAGCAAGAATTATCAGTGCTTCCTCTCTTCCCTTTCCCCATTTCTTATCCCACCACAGAGCTAATTACCAAAATGCCATCCTTTAGTCAAAACTATTCTTTCTTGCTCTCAGGAGATACATTTTTTTTGTTTGGTTCGTGGTTGTTTTTCTTTTTTTAAATCATGACACTTCTCCTTTTGAGAGGTTAATTAAAGAATATCCTTGGGCACCCAAGGATTTAAATACAAATTCTTGCTCACATATTTGTTCCCATGTTAAAGGCACATGGTTATGGTGGGAGTCATGATCCAGACTTATAACCATGCATTATCAAATTAGTGTTTATCTCTTCGTAACTACATTCTAGAATAAAGAATTGCCCATGTATCTCCCTGACTGCACAAGTGGGTACTTTTATTTGCATATTCACACGTGAAAATTAGTCACTCCAAACAGCTGATCTCTGCTGTCCACTCCCCACAATCCTACATCCAAGGCTACTCCTCAAATGTACAAAGATACAGGCTAACACTCGGGGAATTTCTCTAGGAAAATCAATATCAATGTGCTGCCCAAACCCTGAAAGAAGCAGAGCAGTTTGTTAAGAAGCTTATGAGCCAGAAGCAGGGGGAGCAAGACATGACCAGTACTATGTCCAAAGGAGCAGCATTTCTCTCACCTGCTAAACACTGTAAAACAACAGTGCTTCAGCCACTTTCCACCAGACACCTGTGTGGCATTGCCAGAAACAGTGCATGTGCACTTTAAATTGCAACAGGCAAAATGAACTGGCATGAGCTCCTGATGTGAGAAAGTGAGGGGGAAGGTACTTAAGGAAACATTCAAACAAGTAAGTTAGCATCATTCTGTAAGATGAATCACAACTCACCCCTGCATAAAACATTTTATTTCTAAATCGGCTGTTGAATTTCTCTGGATTTGCTTCTGTGAAAGGATAAAAAGGAAAAATATAGTAAACACCCTAATAAAACAAGTAGACTCCACTGTAACTTCACATTCCCTGCTAAGCACTATAGTGCTTTTAGCACACATCACTCAGTGGAAATATTAACATAAATATATCCTTCCTTTTTGAGCGTCCCCTATCTGTGCCATTATCTGCTATTAGATTTCAAACATTGATACTGAATTATCCTCCTTTCCTGTAGAGCAAAAAATAGATGGAAACAAGAGCAAAGAGGTAGCAAGAATACAATCAGTTAATTTATCAGGTCTTGGACTATTCATCTCATGATCCTTCAGTACCATCTGTGCAAATTCTGTTTCTACCAATGTAGAACAGACCTCTTGAAGAATTATTATAAATCCATGAAACACTAACCCATGCTTTGAAGGAGGAGTAAAGTATTAGTAAATTACAAGATGAAACAGACACTTAAATTCTGATATGTTACAAAGAGGATATCTAGAATGCACAGAGGAATAGACATCTCTACCCAAATATTCCCACAGCAAAAAAAAAAAAACAACTGGTTACTCTAAAAGCTATTTAGAGAGCTGTTTCTTTTTGATTAGATTCCAAGTGATAGAGAATTTTAATAGTCCAATTGTAATGCACATCTAATGGTTAATTATTCTCACTGTTAAAATAAACGTGGCTTTTTTCCCTATCTTGAATTTTCAGACTTCAACCGCCAACTGCTAAATCTTATTATATTTCTCTGGCAGATTAAAGAGCCCCCAACCATCAGATAACTTCTCCTTGAGTAAATACTTACAGGCAGTGATTAAATCACTTCTTAACCTTCTTTCCAATAAGCTAAATGGACCTCCTTTAACCTCCCAGTATAAGGCATGCTTCCCAGAATACAGGTCATTCTTGTGCCACCCTGAGAACTGTATTCCTAGCCTGTGGCATCCAGAGATTTCAGAAGCAGCCCTTCTGACACTTTATTCAGTGGTAGTACCAACCACCTAGCCTTGTGCTCAGTGATCCTCTGGTGAAAACATTCAGTTATCAGGATGGTCCTTCTGGCTAAAGTGTCACACTGGTGTGAACACTTCTGACACCAAAAACCAGTGAAATAAACAAAGACTCATTCTGGAGTTTGGAAAGTAGGTATTCTTTATTCACAACGTCAGAGCACAAGAAGGTATTTTCCTCAAAGCAAGCGCCCCGGGTCTGGTTGTTATGCATATTCATTACCTCTCCCAGAATTTCACGCATAGTTAAGCCATTCCTTGGAACTCACTAACATATTTGCATATCTATTAGGCATGTGCTTTTTATCGTCAGGGTGGTCGTGAGGGGTCTCTAGTGGTCATCCTCTGCTACAGGTGGTCACAATTTCATGTCCTTTGGGTTAACTACTTCTTGGGAGCACGTGCAGTCTCAAGGAATGCTTATAAGAATTCATTTGTATCTAGTCAAAATTTTTTTACTATAAGCAGCTTAAAACCTGTCTTGTTAGACACTGGCCTTGTTTCACAGTTGTTTTAGACATTCCCTACCTAATATGGCAATTAGATAAGTGCTGGAATTTCACTAGCTCAGTTTTACTTGCCAAGATAAAATGCATGCCTTATATTGAAGCATTATTCTATAAAATTAAGGCTAAACTATCAAGACAAAACCACACTGATTCTATAAAATCAGAGCAATACCGCATCACTTCCAAATTACTTCTTCACAAATGACCACTTGAAACAGTGATTCTATCTCACTTTGAAGTCACTACATCTCGCAGCATAAGGCTCCATTTTGTAAGAATGAGCTACTTCTCATTTCTTGTTTGATTGTTTGCTCAGCTACTGTATCATCCACTTGTCGTGTTGCACGTGAGCCTGGAATGCAGTCACAGCCACCTCTTCTTCAAACGATTAATTTAACTGCATAAGTACATCTCATCTCACGTACTGAGCTGACAGCTCTTTACAGAAAGTCTCAACACCCCATACTAAGAAGCAAGAGGCTCCTGAAGGCCCAGTGCCTGTGCTTCACATTTTCTGATGTGGCTGTCCCGGCTGGCTCTGGGCAGCAGCCTCCAGAGCATTGGCTCTTCCAAGTATCTTATGAAGAACACTGACCAGAATCAAGGCCCCAGTTCAGAACAGGAAAGGAGCCTTTTTGAGGTCAGGGACTCAGCAGTCCTTCAACATACTCAACTGCTCCTACTTCTGACATAGCAGATGAGCATGGGTAGGGAGGAAGGACTCTTTCTGCAACGTGGAATAGAGCCTAAAGTTTATTAGAGTGCAACTTTTGTTGTAAATAACTGACTGCATATCCAAGGCTCACTCCATCCTCACCATTTTCAAGCCATCAAGGGAGTAGGAAACGGAATGTGTTAGACTCTCTGTGTTTGTGTGTAGTGGGGGGGTGTCCTGCAAATGAGCAGTCCTGTAGAGCCATGGGATCAAACAGCAGGTCAGCAAGGATGAAGTAAATTGCATCTCCCCTGCTCTACCAAAGCATAAGGATAACAAGGGAGGAAACTGGAAAGAGTCGCTACTCTAGAACACTTCCTGAAGAAGCAGAGATAAACGCTTTAGGCTTGGAGCCAGCCCTCAAGGCTCAGTCTGGTTAGTCACAAGTGTAGATGTTGCCGAGGAAAAGGCCACATTCATGTACAGGTTCCTCTGAGACACTGAAATCACTGCTTATTCTAAATATAGTAATTGACCAATCTCTATTGCATAAGTTCAAATTAATGTAATTTATTTTGGTTTGGCAGGACAGGGCATGGTGCCTGTTTTTTTGGGTTTTTTTTTTAATGCTATACGTAACTACTATAGCTCCACATAAGCAACTGCATACAACCACTTATCTTAATGGACCAAGTGCTACAGCCATGAAAGTGCTTTAAGTTTTGCTGAAGTTTTGCTAAGAGTTTCTCTGAATTGTCATGAATTGTAAATTAGATCAGAATCTGTTTTGCACTCCTTAATTCATAGAAACATAGAATACTTCAGGTTGTAAGGGACCTTTAAAGGTCATCTAGTCCAACTCCTGCCCTGCACTGGGCAGGGACATCTTCAACTAGGTCAGGTTGCTCAGAGTCCCACCCAGTCTGACCTTGAATGTTTCCCCTCTGCCACCTCTCCGGGCAACCTGTTCCAGTGCTTCACCACCCTCATTGTAAAAAAATTCTTCCTTATATTTAGCCTAAATCTACCCTCTTTTAGTTTAAAACCATTACCCCTTGTCCTATTGCAACAGGCCCTGCTAAAAAGTCTGTCCCCATCTTTCTTATAAGCCCCCTTCAGGTATCAAATGGCTGCAATAAGGTCTCCCCAAAGCCTTCTCTTCTGTGGGCTGAACAACCCCAATTCCACTGGAAAAATACAATAAAACCCACACACCAGCAACACCTCCAAGTCTATAAGCTCTTCTTTCCTAAAATACATCGGACTCACTTTGTGTATTTTAGCATGTGAGAGGGCAAGGAAGAAACCAGCACCAGCACCCATGACTTGTAAGAGCAGACATTTGTGCTATGAAAAGCTCCCCTGGCCACACATACCCACTCACAGACACACAGCTTGCTATGCTAAGTACTTTTTCACCCATGTAAATTTTTAAAACACTGGCATCTCTGGAATAATATCCATTCTTTACAGGGCTCCATAACTTCATTATTAAGTAATGCCTCCATTAAGTGACAAAGTAGTCACGCATTTCATCTATACAGTATATTGACATTCACATTAGCAATGCATAGTGATACGCATTCATAAAAAAATGCGTACGGCTGTCATTTCATTCCTGTGCCCTTTTGTGGCCCCTCATTATTCCTAAAGCTTGAAGCAGTCTTAAACACTATAAAATATGCATTAGCTCGTTCCATCATGTATCCTACTCTTTTTTAGCATGGCATTAGAGTGCTATCTTTTCATCTTGAAATGACACTCAGAGTATGAGAGTGAAGATAAGGGAAGCTGCGATTCAGAAAAAATACCTGCATATGAAGCTGAAATTACCAAAAGCTGAACACAGACAATTGAACAAGGTTTGTGTATACAAGCATACTTGCCTAAACCATGTACAGAGCAGCTCACATCAGTCCAAAGCCCACCTGTTAAGTCACATTTGGATCTGCATGGAGTGGTATAACCGCCATTGGCAAGGGGACAAACAAGATGCTACAACAGGTCAAACTCCTGAGAGTTTTGTGGGCATTAAAACTTTCCACTTGCATAGAGACACTCTGGTTCTGTACCAAGTCCTATTATATTATATTATACTCATCCATATTTAACAGCTGTTAAGTTTGAGAACACAATTATCCTCCTGCTACCCTGCTAATTCCATAGTCTTGAAGCTTTTCTCCTCCGTCCACCTCCACACTTGCACCTGTCTTACATTTGTTTTTCTTCCTGCTCTAATTCTGACACTTCTGCATCTGCATAAACTTCCTTTATATCTGTACTTGGTAACTCCTATAGAAGATCAAAAACTTGGAAAAGCTCCCCTTTTAGCGCTTTTCCTGCAGTGAATGCCGTTTTTTCTTGTACTTTTTTCATTTTTAATTCATGAAGTCCTTTGGAAATTCACAATACAATCACTTCCTTCCTAAATGTATGTGTCTTGGGATTTTATATTCCAGCCTTCCTTCCAAATTACAAGAGGATGTTAAATCCAACTTCATTTGTAATTCATAAAATAATTGCCCATTCCCAAGGCTAAGGAAATAAAAAGTTCCTATTACCTCTGGATTCATGGAACTCCAGTGTAACATGTGCATCAAAACCAAGGCTGAAGTAATTATTGAAGACACTGAGAGGAAGCTGTAATTGGATAATAAAAAGACATGTAAAAATAACATGAACAAAACATTCCATGATGTACCAGGAATCAACTGCTTTAAACTTGGCATTTCATGAAAATCTACAAAGAAGAAAGTGGAAGATATCAGGGAAATGTATGTAGAAGGTTGCTCTGAAGTTTAGTAATGGCTTGCGGAAGATAATCAGATAAAAAAGCCAAAGAACACAAAAACATCTACAGTGCTTTACTATAATTTAAGTATCTTTGTAAACACATCAAAGGGTTCTTTATGTTGTCATTGAGATTTCCCACAATGCTCCTCCACTTAACATGTCAATACAAAGGTTTTCCTAATTGCTGTCATTTCAAGCTCAGCATGGTGAACAAAACTCAAGCTGTATTCTTCCTGCTTCATATATAGCCAGGAGCAATGCAAGTCTCAAACAAGAATTCCTAATTCTATCGATGATGCATGAGGCAGGGAAGCACACATCTGGCCTCTTCATCATTACACACACCCAGCAGGGCTGTAGAGAGAGAGAACAGTAGCATCCAATATATAAGCTGGAAATTATAACTGAGAAGAGGAAAATGGTTCATAGAATCCTTTTTTTATGATTGTAACATTTTCAGCATCTCCAGTGAAAATGATATATTACTCTAAATGTGATCCCCTCACATAAAAATTTTCCCACTCCTCAACTATTAAGGTACACTAATGGGGATTATATGGAGACCCACACACAAAGAAGTTAAATACAAAAATAAACTACACCTTGCTGTAAAGTAGGAAACAGTTGGTATCCATTAGCAAAATCCTAACGAATAAAATTCTACATCCTGTTTTTCCTTTCATCTAATTTAGGAATGGATGGTAGTCACAGGGTTGCTTCTCCTGCCACCCCAGGTTAACTAGAGAAAAAAAACCAATGACCTTCCAGATAAAATGCTGGGGATTTTTTCTAGGACATAGTTCTTGAGATAAATGCTCAGTGCCTGGGAGTTAAAAGAAACAACTAAATGGCTGGTATGCATTACATTTCACACACCCCTGGAAGCACTGACACATGAAAAGAACAAAAGGAAGAGATGCAACCAGAGAATTAAAAAGTTTTAGAGCTTCAACACTCATGCAGCTTATGGTGTAACCTGAAGATGCTCTTAAGCTCCCTGGGAAAAAGAAGGCTCTAACCTTACGTGCCCCATCCTCCAGCTCATCCTGTGGCAAATCAGGGTTGCGCTCAACCTGGAGATTCCAGCGGTCCAGCTGGACGATGGTCCCATCTTCTACATGGCACAGGATCTTGGACACTGGCTCATCTGTGTAACCCTGACAGCAGAGTATCAGCCATGGGTAGTGAAAGCAAAGCAAGTCACTCACCGATTACCTGGCAGACCTCCCTCCTTTCACACAAGCCTAAAACACCAGATCAAGCATTCCTGAGAACATCTCAAAACATTGCTAAATTTTGATATAGCAAGCATTTTAACAAGATATTGTTGAGGTACACAAATCCTGGGCAGGCAAAGTAAGGCCATAAGGAGACAAAATCAAAGTGTATTTGCCTTGCCTGGAATAACTCCAGTGGTGTAGTCAAGGATAGATACAGAGAAATGAAGTTTAAACTGTGCCTAAATTAGAAGCCTGCATAGCCTCCTCAGTACTTGGCCTGAAATACCAGACAGATATATCAATGTACACTTTTATTACAACAATTACTTTGTTAGTAATTCAAGATCCCAGACTGGAAATTAAACCAAATCATTGTGCCTAACTGAAGTAGACCTTGGACACCGCCCTACCTGCTATATTAGCCAAAATGAAGTTCCACCCTACACAACTACATCAGAGCAGCAAGCCCACATGTAAGGGTACCCCAGTCAGTGCTTACCCCACCCCAGTTGAGGGTGCGGGCAAGGTCATTCCCAGTGCCAAGCGGAAGGACAGCCACAGGAGGTGGGGGGCTGAGTTGCAGCTCATCGAGGATGGAGAGGATCCAGCCCACCTATAAAACAGGAAACGTAGAGAAATGTTAGTCAGGAAGATGAAAAGGGATGGAAAAAAGGAGAGAGGCATATTTTGATCATATCCTCTTTACAGAGAAGATCAAGTAAAACAAAAGGGAGAAGGAAAAATTAGGATATCTGAAATTTAACTCTACAATTGCCTCATCTGAGGTTTCACCTTTCAGAGAAGAGGTACAGCAGTTTTCATGAAACTCCCATGCAAGCAGAAGCAATGGGATGTAAACACTACCTATCTTTAACAAAACACAGAGACACTGAGGAAAAGGAGCACGTAAGTTGTTGTTTTTTAAGCAGAAAATGAAAACAGATAGAATTACACCTGATATTACAAGGCTGACTAAATACTACTCGGAAAAATACTGTATGTAAAAAGGATGAAGAATAATATGGACAATTCAATAATTTTTTTTTAAATTGCTGTCATGCTAAAGGAAACTAAACCCTTGACAACTGTTATGAACACAGATGTGAGAAACACATTAAAACAACATGGTATCTCAGAGCATGTCCTGGAACAGGGGGTCCAAAGGAAGTCAAGCATGGACTTGCCCGCAGGTCTCCCATTACCTGGACAAGAGACCACAGTGCTGAATTATATCATTCAGTGGAAGGCATAATATGTATAATATATATTATACAGATAATATACATATATAAAAATATTCTAGTCAGATGTATACACACACATATATATATACAAAATAAAAGACTAAGAGACTAGAATAAAATTACAAACTCTAATGCTCAGGGTTGAAGGCTTT